GCCACTTTCCTCGCTCACCCGTTTTCGTGAGTTGATTTTTTTTTTGGGGGGGGGTAGGTCCCTCACGTAAGCTGCAAAGCGGTTGCTCGCGAATTAGATTGATTAATTCGCCCAACTACGATAGCGTTTGCGCTTACCTGAGTACAGGCACACGACGGAATTCCCCCTGCCCCGGCGGGGCATTCGCCAAATGGACCAAGCTCAGTTCAACGAGCTTCGGGAGCAGTTCAACGCCATGAACCCGCGCATGGCTACAGTGCTGGAGGACAACGAGCGACTTCGTGCGGAAGTTGCTGAGTTACGCCAGGCGCGAGAGGATTCGCGTTAGAAAATTGCCGCCCAAGAGGAGGTCGCCAGCACCGGACGTGTCGAAACCGTCTTGGACGAAATCGCACGTCAGGTGTCACAGGAGCGCAAGGACAGTGAAGCCGCCGCAGCACCTGACGTGGCAGCACGAGCAGCAGCAGCAGCAGCAGCAGCAGCAGCGACAACAGCAGCCGCTACTGTAGCCGCACCGGCGTTTATGCCGATCGTGACGACAGCGACGATCAAACCGACAATGCCGCCCCCGTTCAACCCCACAGATAAGAATACTACTGTTACGGGCTGGTTATTTTCGGCGAAACTTTATTTTAATGCCGCTGGGATCACTGCTGACGATTTAAAAATTCGACTGGCTGTATCACTACTGCGGGGACCTGCGCTAGATTGGTGGCGATATACTCTACAGGAGGGGGAGTTTTCGGCAGGCGACACACAGGGGTTTTTCGGAAACTTTGGGTCTGCTGCCCAAGGGTCAACCGCGATTTTTGGATCGACCAAGATTCGCACGTGGAAGGCGTGGGGTACAGCTCTGCGTGAACGTTTCGAGCCAATATCCGCCTCGGACAACGCACGCACGAAGCTGGACAACTGGCGCCAGTGGAATTCTGTCCAGGATTACGCGTCGGTCTTCATGGCGTTATGCGATCAAATCACCGACATGCATGACTCCGAGAAGAAAGCTCGATTCATTTCGGGTTTGAAGCAGGACATTAAATGCGAGGTCCGCCTGCGACTGCCGGCGACGTTTCACGAAGCCGTTCGGATGGCAGACAACTTCGACGCACATCGGACGTATGCGAGAGCGGGTTCCCGGGAGGGAAATCGTTTTCGTGGCCAGAATCCACGGCCCACGATTCATGGCGTAGTGGCGAAGGAGCACATGGACGATTTTCGCAAGGGACAATGTTTCAACTGCCACCAGTCGGGTCACCAATCTCACGATTGCCCCCGAAAGAAGCAGATAAAGAAGAACGACGAAGACAGGTCGGGAAACGCCAAGCGTCAGTAGCGGTCGGGCCCCCTACTGACCCTGTCTCCTCGCCCGACAAACACCATCCCCACCGAGTAGTGGTTCCGATACATGCTATCAACCGCTCCCGGCTGAATAAGGGGGATGACCCAGTGGACCACCTTGTACTGGCGGAAGGACGACTCAACGGGAGAAAAATAAAAATATTCATCGACGAAGGTGCGAGTCATAGCCTGATAAATCGAGAGACAGCACGACGACTACACGTGACGCTGGAGTGGTGTCTACCCGAAATCAACGCACGATTGGTGGACGGCACCCCGCTGGCGATACGCGACAAAGTACCTGTCGTTCGAATGAAGTGTGGCGACGATTTTGGTTTCAGCGCGCCGATGCTGGCGACAACGCTCGACGGCTACGACGTGCTATTGGGACGCGATTGGCTGCGACGATTCAACCCGCAGATCGATTGGACAACAGGCGAGTGCACAGTGAAGTGCGACAAAGGTTGGCGAAAATTACCCACGTGGCCGGAAGCAGAGACAACATCGACACGAGTCAACGCGATGTGCCTCAAGCGAGCGGTCAAGAATGGAGCGGATTTATACGCCATCCATCTAACCGAATCGACGGAGCAGAATGAGGCGACCGACATCAACAAACTCTGCGCCTCGGTCCCGGATGACTTGGCAAAAATCATTCGAGAATATCCTGAGATCTTCCCGGACGACTTGCCAAGTGGACTACCACCCGAACGACCCCAGGACCACAAAATCGAGCTGGAGCCCGGCGCGCAGCCTACTGTACGCACGCAATGGCGCCTGACTCAGCCGGAGCTACAGGAGTTACGAAACCAGTTGGACTACCTGCTGGCGAAAGGGTTCATTCGGCCGAGCACGTCCCCGTTCGCAGCACCGATCCTGTTCACACCAAAAAAGGACGGTGGACTTCGCATGTGTACGGATTATCGTGCCCTTAATCTCGTAACGATTAAATCGCGCTACCCAATTTCACGAACGGACGAACTGATCGACAACCTTCGCGGAGCTCGTTACTTTTCGAAGATCGACCTTCGTGGCGGTTACCATCAAATTCGAGTGTTCGCTGACGACTGCCACAAAACCGCGTTTCGTACTCGCTATGGGAGTTACGAATATACGGTGATGCCGTTTGGATTAACTTCACGTACAAGATCACGTATAAAAAGGGCGCCAACAATATTGCCGACGCCCTTTCCAGACCATCTGCCCAACTCGCAGCAGTACTAGTCGCCCAAAGCAACCCGCTACTGAGTGGACTATTTACCCACGGGTATTCGACTGACCCCTTCTTCGTAAACGACGGCCATCTCCCAATCACTACGTGGAAAGGCGTCTATTACTTACGAAGCGGGGCTGATCAAATTTGGGTCCCAAGTTATCGTCTACTTCGCGAATTACTAATTCAAGAAGTCCACGATTCGAATCTATCGGGACATTTCGGGGTTGATAAAACTCTGAAGGCGTTGCAACGGTTTTATTACTGGCCAGATATGGTGACGGACGTGCAGCGTTACGTGGCCGCGTGTCCGATCTGCCAGCGAATGAAGTCGTCACACCAGCGGCCCACAGGACTGTTGCAGCCCCTCGAGCCACCTCAACGCCCATGGCAACACGTAACGATGGATTTCGTTACGGGACTACCGACCGGATCCAGCGGAAACGACGCGGTTTTGGTTGGCGTCGACAGACTGACGAAGATGGCGCATTTCGCACCATGTCGTACAACCATCACAGCCGAAGAAACAGTGCGCCTGTTCATCTCGACCGTCGTTCGCCTACACGGGATACCAGCAGCAATCATTAGTGACCGAGATCCGAAGTTCACGTCAAAATTCTGGCAGGACACGTGGGCTCGGTACGGCACGCGTCTACAGTTCTCATCCGCTTATCATCCCCAAACGGACGGCCAGACGGAAAGGACGAATCAAACGATGGAGCAGCTGATTCGGACAAACTGCCCCGACCGAAACAAATGGGAGGACATGCTGCCCATGTTGGAATTTTCCTACAACAACGCGCCCTCAGCTACGACTAATCACTCCCCGTTTTACCTCAATTACGGGATGGACCCTACAGTGCCGATCTCCACCAATGTTGAGAGTCAAGTACCGCGATCGCAGCAGTTCGTCGAAGAACTACAGACTGCCCGAGACAACGCTGTCGAACTTATTCGCAAGGCGAACACAACTGCCCGACGGTATACGGATTTACATCGCCGGGATATTACGATGACAGCGGGGCAACTAGTCCTTTTGGACACCAAGAATTTCCGACTGCCACTACCGACAAAATTGCGACCACGTTTCTGTGGCCCGTTCAAGATCATGAAGATGGTGACGCCGGTGACCGCCCAGTTACGCCTACCTGATGACTGGCGAATTCACAACAAATTCCACGTGAGTCTGTTGCGACCCTTCGTTCCTGACACGTCGGACATCGCTCGACAGCGATTGTTTCCAGATGTACGGCCACCAGCCGAAACGACCATCGAACCTTCGAAGATCTTGAGCCATCGGATTCGTATTGACGGTCAAGGACGACACGTTGACTTTCTGATACGATGGACCAATCGTACCAGTGAGGACGACACGTGGGTGCCCTCGGACCAGATACAGTCACCTTCGATACTTGCGAATTATTTGGACCGCAAGCACGTGGCTGATATAGATCACATTCGCTAAGGGGGGGGGGTGGTGTAAGGAATTTTCCATTCCTTACCGAGCGGTACTGCTATCGCGTACGCTCGAACACACCTGAAGCCTCGGGACTGTTCCAGACCTTCTGACAGAACCGCCTCGGCTTCTCCATACCCTTCGCTTCGACCTTCGGGAGTTCTCCAGGCCTCGCTTCGTCACTTCGAGACCCTTCGATCTCCTTCCCGAACCTTCCCATCGCATGGTTAGACTAGCTTTGGTGTTCCTATATCTTGGCTTGCCATTCCTTGTATCGTCACTTCATTGAGTGAACACTTCGTTATTCATTTCCGCGCTACTCTGCTTGTTCATTCATAACAATTCACTTCTAGAAAGCTGAGACAGTGTAGGGTAACGACACCAGCTCGCCTGTATCAGACCTCCCCCTGCCAAACCTACCAGCACCTTCAGGTTTTTCTCCTGATGCTCCTCTGTTGCGCTCTTGCGCCAACTGCTACCTGCCCCCTGCGAAACTGCACACCTGCAGCGCAAATGAGTCGAGCGCGATTTGGCGCAACAAACCAAAACCAAGCATGTCCTGTACAGGCGCACAACACACTCCAAGGCAGCAGCACTGCACTGGGCGTTTCCGTAGTGGCGTCAGCTTAGCCCGCCCCAAACCCGAGATTTCACTCATCACTAGCAACACAGAAAGACATCGCGCCGCGACTATGCTCTTTTTTCTCTCTGTCTTGCACTGCACTCGTTATCCAAATCCCAATCCCCACTGGTTGACTCCCTTGGACGAGGAGAGAAGTGAAACCCCTCCCCTCTCCCTCTCCCTCTCCCTGAGGGCGTGTCCAGCGCGTACGTTTACAGTACACGGATCACGGTTCAGTAGGATATATCACGATCGGGAACGGTTTTTGCGCTTCACCGCGTTGGACCTCTGCAAACCATATTGAACCGTATAAAGTGAATTGTAAACGTACATGCTGGACCAGCCCTCATTCCGTACCTCTGCTCCCTCGGTGGCTCCCTTCCTCCCTCCCTCCTTTCACCAGCAGTCGATACACCGGCGTCTTATCTCGCTCCTTTTCAGCAGTCGATGTTTCCTTTCCTCTTTTCGCGTCTCACCACTCGAGAGGCTTTTCTTGCACGCCAGCAATCTGACAGACACGACTAGGGAGGCTTCACTTCCTCGGTATAGAACTACGCTGAAGACTAGGGACGCTACGCTTACATCCCTGGGCATTTGAGGCGCCTCAAAAGTCGTCTCATTAGGGAGGCTTCACTTCGTCAGTGCAGGACTAGCACAGCTCGTTCTCAAGGCTAGCCGTCGCAGAAGAGATACCATTAGGGCCGCCGTACGTTTCCTTTACGAGAGATACCATTAGGGCCTCCGTACCTTTCCTTTACGAGAGATACCATTAGGGCCTCCGTACCTTTCCTTTACTATACACTCCGTACTTCTATTCAGTGACTAGCCGTCTTTCCGTGTCGTTTCATTCAGTCAGACCAGTCGAATCAAGTAAAGTCGGCATCTGAAGAGCGGTGACGAGAGGTGAAGAGCGGTGACGTCGGCCATGGGGCGTAAGAGAGGTAGCGAACCGGGAAGGGTGTCCGCGCAGCTGCTCGCGCTGCTGCTCCTCTCGTCCCTCCTCTCGTCCTTGGTTCACGTATCCCTCGCCGTCACGTGCAACGCCGACGACAACATGGTGCGCCCTCCCCCCATTCCTCCCCCCATTCCTCCCCCCATTCCTCCCCTCATTCCTCCCCCATTCCTCCCCCCATTCCTCCCCTGATCCCTCCCCTCATTCCTCCCCCATTCCTCCCCCCATTCCTCCCCCCATTCCTCCCCTGATCCCTCCCCTCATTCCTCCCCCCATTCCTCCCCCCATTCCTCCCCCCATTCCTCCCCTCTTCCCCTCCTCCTTCCTCGTACTGCCTCCCGTCCGCATTCCTCCCCTCCTCCCGTCCGCATTCCTCCCCTCCTCCCGTCCGCATTCCTCCCCTCCTCCCGTCCGCGTTCCCCGTACCGTCACCTCTCCTCTCCCGCCCCCTCCCGTCCCGCTTCCCAAATGTACGACTCCCCTTCCCGTTGCCGGACATGTCACTTGCGCCCCCCCCTCTCCCCCACCCCCCCTCCTCCTCCTGTTTACTGCTCGCCGGGCGACGAGTGCGTGAGCAGCGACCAGCTGTGCGACCAGCTGTGCGGCCCCTCTTCCCCTTGCCTGACTTCTCTCTCCCCTCTTCCCCTCTTCCCCTCTTGTCCCCTCCTCCAGTATTACTGCGCGTCGGGCGACGAGTGCGTGAGCGGCGACCAGCTGTGCGACGGCACGGCGGATTGCGGCGACGAGAGCGACGAGCAGCAGTGGGAGTGCGGAGGGTTCGAGGACGGGTGCCCTGCAGAAATGGTAAGACGGGGGCGGAAGTGAGTGTGAGAGAGACGTACAGAGTAGCAGAAAGGGGAAGTGTAAGAGCCAGCGAGGGTGAGAGTGAGCGTGGGAATGTGGGAGTGTGGGTTTGTAGTTGCCGCAAACTCGACGTGTGCGCTAGCACTGCTAGCGCAGACGCAGACACGTACTCACCCAATTTCCTCCCCCTCTTCCCCGTTCCCCCCTTCCCTCCCCCCTTTTCCCCCCAGATGCCCTGCCCTCTCGCCACCATCAGCGGCGCCACCTGGTGCTTCGACCCCTCTACTGCGTGCGACGGCTCGCCCGACTGCCCCTACGGCGCGGACGAGTGGCCGGGCTTCTGCGTTGACCTCCAGAGTACTTTCAACTGCCCTGACTCACCGAACGAAGTGCTCTGCCCCGGAAAAGAAACCTGCGTGTCAGGTATGGTGTGCGATGGGGTGGGCAACTGTGCGGCGGATGCAGCAGCGGGAGGGGTTGTGCCTGATGAAGACAAGCAGTACTGCTCGGTGTACGGGTGTTCTGAGGGGTACTGGAAGTGTTCCAACGGCGTGCAGTGCATAGATGAAACGCTCAAGTGTAACGGCAAGGCGGATTGCAAGGACGGGAGCGATGAGAAGGGGTGCAGCGGCTCGTCTGGGAGTACTGGCGGTGGCAGTACGACTCCGTCTACAGATGTAACGACCCCCCCCAAAGATGTAACGACCCCTCCTAAAGATGACACCACTGGAGGGGGTACAGGGGGTACATCTGGTGGAGATGAAACGAGTGGAGATGGGTCTGTCAGTGAGCCAGCTATAGGCGAACCGGGAGATGACACTGGCGGGGAAGCTGGGGAAGAGGGAACGGATGACGACTCGGGCGGAGATGAAACTGCGGGTGGTGATGCTACTAGTGGCGGAAGTGGGGGAGGTGATACTGAGGTGGGTGGTATGGCCGACGGAGGGCAAGGGGGGGAGGGTGGGGACGTGCAAACGGGAGGGGAAGCCGGAGGGGGAGGGGGAGGAGGGGGGCCTGGGAAATCAACTGGCACGAATTCCCCAGGTCATCCTCCTATCAAGCACTTCCCTCCCAAGAGCACTCCAGGCCAGGGGTCAGCTGGGAAGGCTATTGGGGATGCGGGAAGTGCTTTCAACAATGCAGCAAAGGGAGCAGCGAAAGGGGCTGCAAAGAAGATTGGAGAGGTTACAGCAGTAATGAAGAAGCTTGTCAAGGAGCGCAATGTAAAGAGGGACGGGAAGAAGCCAAAGCAGCCGGTTGCAGGGCCAGGCGGAGATGCAGGTGGGGCTTCAGGGGATTCCTCAGGTGGAAACACCGGCGGCAGCAGCAGCGGGGCTGGACCCGAGAACGCCAGTGGAGACACCAGCGGGGGTGACAGTAACGCAGGTGACACAAGCGGCGGGGGTACTGGGGGGGGTGCTGACGCGGTGCACACCACACCAGAATCCAGCTCCACCCAAAAACCCCCTGCCACCACTGGGGCAAGCAGGGGGGGTGGAGGGGCTGCAGATAAAGGACCTGGCAGCAGCAGCAGCAGCATCGACGGCGCGAAGGCTCTCGTGGGGGGCTTGGTGACCCAGGCAGGTAAGCAGATGGATGCTCTGAGGAAAGCGGCGGATGCGGCGAGAAGGAAGGGGGCGGGGAGGAAGGAGAAGTGGGGCAGTGGGGGGGGCTGGCAGGGGGGTACTTTGAAGCCTGTGAAAGGGGCACAGGGTGTTATGAAGCCTGTAAAAGGGGCGGCGGCGGGGATGAAAAAGGCAAAGAAGCAGAAGAGAAACGGTAAGGGCAAAAAGAAGTAAGAAGAGAAGAAGTTGGCAGGGAAAGGGGTCAGGACTGCAGCAGGCTTTAAGAGGGCGGCCACATGTCTGACTGACTGCTGTGGGACTGGGTAACTAGTAGTGAATTGCATGACAGTTAGTAACATAGGGAATGCACATTATGTAGTAATAGGAGATGGGATTTTGTTTGTAGTATGTCAAGGCACCACCTCCTATGGTGATCAATAATGGCATGTGCAGTCAAAACGAGCGCAATCAGTCCGTGATGCTAACTATATGAAGATAATTGCAAGTTGTAAATTTCGATGTCCGTGATGCGAACTATGTTGTGATGCAAATTGCTATGCTCAAAATGAGAAATAAGCAAAGAAATGTCAACAAACACATTAGTAACAGTCGCACAATACTTGTTTCAAAAGCTCACATGCCTTGATCCGATAAGAAAATGGTGACTACTAAAGCGTTGAACGGTTAGCGAGCTTGCACTTGTCCTTGCTGCCCTATCTGTAAAACCACCTGTAGAGCATCCTGCGTCTCGAAGTTGCTGATCATGCTTTGGCGTTTTCATAAACGGGGTGTTTTGCCGCCACACGGCCACCAACCGAACGAACAGCCAGCTGGACACCTGGAGATTTGTATTGAAGGGGGTGCGGTTCGCAACAGAGAGCAGCAGCGCAGCGTATTTGGAGATAATTGCAAGGAAGGGGGGGAGAGGGGCGAGGGGAGGGGCGGGGCACAGCAAATGCGCCACCACCATCGACCGAACTAAACCGACACAGCCAACACACAGCCACCACACACAGCCACCACACACAGCCACCGACACACAGCCACTGACACCAATTCCCTTCCATCCAAGCATGACTGTTGTGCTGATGACATACAGCGCGTGGGTTGGGGGTACACCACAGGTGCGCTGTACTTGTATGTATCTCGCTAGCTTTTCTGGTCTCCGGTGCGTACCATAGCGCGTACGGACGACAATACCTACGAGCCGAGATACGCTGTCCGAAGTGCCTATCAGAGCCCCTGAGCGCGCGATCGTGTGTGTGCGGCGGAGATTCGTGAGAGTGGGCGATCGTGCCTATCAGAGTGCCCGCGCGATCAAGCGGTTGAGCGTTCGAGCGAGCGAGAATGCATGGGGCCCGATTGCGAGGCAGTGTGAAGTGAACTCACCTCACGATGACGGGACGAGCGCTTATCACAACGCCCAAGCGGTCGAGCGGTCGAGCGGTCGAGGATGCATCGCGCCCGATTGCGCGGCAGTGTGGGGCCAGCGGCTCACTCCATTGCGCGTCAGCCTGCGCCACCTCCCGCCACGGGTTCTCGGCTCGTCTGAGTCGTCTCTCGCGGAAGGCCCTTTTATGGAACGCGTTCCGCTGTCCTTATCAGTCCGATTCACGACGACACAGGGACAGCGTGGGAGAGCGAGACAGGAAGAGAGCGAGAGAGCCTCCTGGCGTATTTCCGCCCGCGCTGCGTCGGACAGCGTTGGACGCCTCTTCCCCTCTCGCGCATCGCCGCATCGCCGGGAGCCGACAACGGGCGCGCTACTATTGACCCCTTCTCTCGAATTACAGGCTTGCCCAATTCGCCTCTCTCGGCGCTCCCCGCGGAGCCAGCCGACGCTCGTCGTCGCAACGCCGCGCTAACTTAGCTTTGAAAGCCATCCGGGCGGCAGAACACAGAACAAAAACGCGGATCGCGACGCCTGCGACCCGTGAACATTTCGCATGGTTGCGCCGCTGCGACTCGCTAGTAGCCGCAAAAACTTCGCCTATCGTCCGATTCGGTCGCATCGAACCGTCGGTATCCGGCCAGCCACATCACCGCTCTTCCTACTGCCTTCTCGGCCGTCCGATTCGGTTCGCATCGAACGGCGTGATGGCGGCGCCGATACAACGAGGCGCCTCTGCAACGGTTTCCGTTGCTGCTTCCGCTGCTGTGCTCCTGCTGCTGCTGCTGCCGTCGCTCGTTCAGGTGGGTGCATGAACGGGTGGATGGGTGGGTGGGGATGGGTTCTGTGTGTGTGTGTGTATGCATGTGTGTGTGTGTGATGAGGGTACTGCTCTCACCTCCTCTTGCCCCACTCCTCTCCTCTTATCCCCCTACCTTCGCCCCCCTCGCCTTTCTTCTATTTCCCATGCGTCTCTGCAGGCGGCGCAGCTGCAGTGGGTAGAGCAGCAGGACCTGCAGTCCGTCTTGCCCCACTTCTCCCCACTTATCCGCCCACTTATCCGCCCACTTATCCGCCCACTTATCCGCCCACTTATCCGCCCACTTATCCGCCCACTTATCCGCCCACTTATCCGCCCACTTATCCGCCCACTTATCCGCCCACTTATCCGCCCACTTATCCGCCCACTTATCCGCCCACTTATCCGCCCACTTATCCGCCCACTTATCCGCCCACTTATCCGCCCACTTATCCCCCCACTTATCCGCCCACTTATCCCCCCACTTATCCGCCCACTTATCCGCCCACTTATCCGCCCACTTATCCCCCCACTTATCCGCCCACTTATCCGCCCACCTTCCCCTTTGCCCCCCCTTCCCTCCCCCTCTTTCGTCTCTTTTCTGTCTGCCATGGCAGGCGGCGCAGCTGCAGTGGGTGCAGCAGCAGGACCTGCCAGTCTCGTGCGACCGGAACGAGAGCATGGTGCGTTCTTCCGCTTTCCCCCCCCCCCCCCCCCTCCCCCCCCCTCCCCCTCCTTGTTTCCCAGTCGTCTCATTCACTATTGCCGTCTTACCCATGGCGCCTTGAGTGCTCTGCTAGTTCCTCCCACCAACATGCAATGTCCTGCTCCCCCTCTCACTTTCGCTTTTCCCTCCCTCCCCTCCTCCCCCTCCTCCCCATCCTCCGCATTCTGCAGTGGTACGGCGCCTCCTGGGACCAGTGCGTGGGCACGGACCAGCTGTGGGGCGCCCCTTCCCTTGCCTGACCTGATGCACGTTGCTTCCGATCCCCCTATCTTCCCATCACCTCCAGTGGTACTGCGCGTCGTGGGACCAGTGCGTGGGCACGGACCAGCTGTGTGACGACACACCTGACTGCAAAGACGGCAGCGACGAGCTGTTGTGGGAGTGCGGGGGGTTCGAGGACTCAACGGAGTGCCCTTCAGGCATGGTAAGGCCGCTGCAGCTGTACCTCTCTTGATGATGACTTTGGGAACTCGTAGGGGACTGCAGTGACGGCAGCGCCGAGCTCCAGTGCGAGTGTGGGGGTTCGAGGACTCAACGGAGTGCCCTGCTGGCATGGTAAGGCCGCTGCTCTATTGGGTGACTGCAGTGATGGCAGTCATTGCAAGGACAGCAGTGATGGCAGTCATTGCAAGGACAGCAGTGATGGCAGTCATTGCAAGGCCAGCAGTGATGGCAGTCATCGCAAGGACAGCAGTGATGGCAGTCATCGCAAGGACAGTAGTGATGGCAGTCATTGCAAGGACAGCAGTGATGGCAGTCATTGCAAGGACAGCAGTGATGGCAGTCATTGCAAGGACAGCAGTGATGGCAGTCATTGCAAGGACAGCAGTGATGGCAGTCATTGCAAGGACAGCAGTGATGGCAGTCATTGCAAGGACAGCAGTGATGGCAGTCATTGCAAGGACAGCAGTGATGGCAGTCATTGCAAGGACAGCAGTGATGGCAGTCATTGCAAGGACAGCAGTGATGGCAGTCATTGCAAGGACAGCAGTGATGGCAGTCATTGCAAGGACAGCAGTGATGGCAGTCATTGCAAGGACAGCAGTGATGGCAGTCATTGCAAGGACAGCAGTGATGGCAGTCATTGCAAGGACAGCAGTGACGAGCTCTTGTGGGAGTGGGGGGTGTTGGAGCACTCAACGAGTGCCCTTCCGGCATGGTAAGGCCGCTTGAGCCCTGATGCCTCGACCCCGCTGCTGCGTGAGACAACTCTCCCTTCCCTTTTCCAGTATGCATTCTTCCCCTTGCGCCTCTCCCTTGCAGTTCCCCATGTCTCCATCTCGCCCCTCTCAGTCACCCTTCCCATTGACCACCATAACCGATAAGCTCTGGTGCCTCGACCCCGCTGCAGCGTTCGACGTCACGCCCGACTGCCCCGCTCACTTCAATTTTTATTTCTCCCTTCCCTCCTTTTCCCTCCCAGTTACCTTGCCCTGTGACCACCATGTCTGACAAGCTCTGGTGCTTCGACCCCGCTACAGCGTGCGACAGCACGCCTGACTACCCCTCTTCAATCCCGTCTCCGTCCCTTTCTTTCCTCTCCGCTCCCCTCTCAGATGGCCTGCCCACTCACCACCATATCCGACAAGCTCTGGTGTTTTGACCCTGCGACAGCATGCGACGGCACACCAGACCGCCCCTCTTACATCAATTAATTCCTTCTCCCTCCCCTCCTTTCCTCCCCTTCCCCTCCCACGCCCCCCTCTCAGATGGCCTGCCCAGTGACCACCATGTCTGACAAGCTCTGGTGCTTCGACCCCGCTACAGCGTGCGACGGCACGCCAGACTGCCCCTACGGAGCGGACGAGTGGCCGGGCTTCTGCGTTGACTTCCAAACCAACGTCACCTGCCCGGGTTCCCCGAACCAAGTGCTCTGCCCCGGCAGCCAGACCTGTGGGTCAGGCATGCTGTGCGATGGGGTGGCGGACTGTGGTTTGGATTCAGGAGGAGTGGGGAGTGGAGGGGGGAGTGTGGGAGGGAGTGTGGGGTTGTTTCCCCCTGATGAGGATCAGGACTACTGTGCGGTGTACGATTGTCCTGCAGGGTACTGGAAGTGTTCCAGTGAGGTGCAGTGCATAGATGAAACGCTCAAGTGTAACGGCGTTGCGGATTGTGGCGACGGGAGCGATGAAACCGAGTGCAGTGACTCGTCTGGGGCAGATGGCAGTGGCAGTTCGGTTCCGTCAAAAGATGACACGACCTCCCCTGCAGTTGACACGACCTCCCCTGCAGATGACACAACCCCTGCTGGAGATGACACCAGCGGAGGGGCTACAGGGAGCCCCCCAGACGGATCATCTGGAGATGAAACGAGCAGGGGTGACACGACTGGAGGGGGGACTGGAGTTGCAACTGGTGGAGATGAAACGGGACTTAAAACGGGACCTGAAACGGGGACTGAAACGGGATCTGAAACGGGATCTGAAACGGGATCTGAAACGGGAGGAACAGGCACTACCCCCACAGACTCTCCCCCAGCCAAGCAGTTCCCCCCCAAGGCAACAGCAGGAGCGGATCCAGTCAGCAAGGCCGTCGAAAGTGCACAGAGTGCAGTGAACAACGCTGCTAGCGGTGCAGTGCAGGCGATTGGTGCTGCTGCAGGGATAGCGAAGAAGGTTATAAAGGGGGGAAAGGCGAGGAAGAAGCAGGCAAAGCCCCAGGGAGCTTCAGGGTCAGTAGGAGAGTCGGGGAGTGTGGCAGGTGGTGGTGGAGGGGATTCCTCAGGTGTCTCCTCAGGTGATGCTTCAGGTGTTTCCTCAGGTGGTGCTTCAGGTGATGAATCAGGTGAAAGCAACAGCGCCGATTCTGGCTCTGGGGATTCCCAAACTAGCGATGGGAGTGGCAGCGGTGGCAACAGTGGCAGTGTCAGTAGTGGGGGTGGCAGTGCACCTAGTAACGGGGGTGGCAGTGCACCTAAGAAAGGGGGTGGCTTCACCACAAGCACTGTTGCAGAGCCCACCCCCAGTACCCCCACGAGCACCGGTACCAGTGGTAAGGGGGCAAAGAAAGGCCCCCGCCGTGCTGGCCTGTCGGGACTTGTGGGCGATCTGTTGCGCGGAGCAGGCAGGAAGTTCGGAGGGGTGAGTGATGCGGCGGGTGGAGCAGGGAAGAGGAGGAGGAGAAGGAAAGGGGAGGGTATGTTTGCTTGGCTGAAACGGCTGGCGAAAGCTGCCAAGACGGAGGTGCAGCGAGCGGTGCAGAGCGTTAAGCAGCAAGGTGCTGCTCAGCTGCAGAAGCTGGGGCAGAAGGGAGGGAAGGGAATGGTCGTGAGGTCTGGAGGGAGGAACAAGAGTAACACGAAGCAGGCTGGGGAGAAAAAGAAGGGGAAGGACAAGAATCAGAAGAACAGAAAGGGCTAAATTACAGTGTTTGAATTTGACTAGGGATTGTTTTTTTTTGCAATCGACTCAAAATGACGCTTCTTGTGTTACCCTTCTCCTCGGCAATGTGTTGTAACTTGTAACAATATTTATGTACGCTATAGCTCTGCATACACTCTAGTTTATATTGTACATGTGGAATATGGTGTGCATACTCAAATTCAACACCCGATACCTATCCTATGGTGTGGGAAAATATTCCATGGGCATAGCACAAGTATCATATCCTATGACAACATGTACCGTAATCAACCGGATATAGGCGCATGTTGTCAGAGTAACATAATGAACTAGAATGAAGGGTACACGGTAGTTTTGACCGAAAGTGTTGTACTCTCTAAGGCATGCCCCTATCTATGCTACAGCAACATATACAAGTATGTTTGACACATCCCCTAAACTGGACAAGGGGCAGTGCTTGGCAAGAGACAAGCAACTCAAGGTGGCACTACTAGTCCAACCTCTAAGGGTCCGAAGACCAGTCAACAAGAGTACAAACTCGACAAGAGCAAACCAGGGCGGCACTACTTGTCCGGCCACTGGAATAGCAGCCACAAGGCCAGTTAAGAAGGTATATATAAAGAGGAGTACACAATCAAGGTCCTAGCAAGTGAGGAGCTACAGGAACTAGACCAAGCTGCAAACAGTGCCGCTGATGATCTTTAGGCGCAAGCGCCTTAGTAAAGATAGCAGCTGTGTTGGCACAGGAGGCCAAGTGTACTACGCGGGCCTGGCGGCGCTGCTGTAGCTCACGCAGGAGGAAGTACCGCAACTGGATGTGCTTCCCTCTGCCCTCGAGTCGAGGCTCCTGACACAGGAGGATCATGGCCCTGTTGTCAGCGTACAGAACCGGGGCAGAGCTGGGCCGCTCACCTAAGTCGGTGAGCAAGAAGGTCAACCAGCGGAGCTCCTGTGCCGCCATGGCACCGGCGTAGATCTCAGCCCCACAGCTAGACCGGGCAACAGACGACGAGCGGGTCGACCTCCATGAGATGGCACGTGAACCAAGGCTAAAGCAGTAGCCTTGGGAGGACCTGAGTGTCTTAGCGTCGACTGCCCACGTAGCGTCTTTATGCCCTGTAAGGACCACTGGTCTACGTCCTCCCAGCACGAGTCCCATGCCCGATGTACTTGCTAGATAACGCAAACCCTCTTAGCTGCCGACCAATGCCGTTGTCGGTGTCTGCCTGTGGCCACAAAGCGCCCCATGATGCCGAGAGGGTATGCGAGATCTGGACGAGTGCAAGTCATCAGGTACATGAGACAACCCACCAGTTCTGCATAAGGACCACTAGGCTTTACTGACCCCTCAGGAACTGGAGCAGAGAGCATGCGGTCTACTGGCAGAGGTGCGGGCTGTGCGGAGGAGAACTGAAGACCGAACCTCTGAAGGACCTGGCGCACCAAGTGTGACTGTGTGAGAGTGATGGTGCGTGATACTCTGTCCCTGGAGATTTGCAGGCCAAGGTAGCGGTGCAATACTTCTAGGTCAGTGCAGATGTGTCTCCTCAACAGCTCAGCCTTTACGGAGGCTAGTGCGTCTCTGTCTGCAGTAGCGAAGACCAGGTCGCCTACGTAGACAATGATGTAGAACGGAGTCTGGCCAGCATGAACGAAGAGCGAGGGGTCTGAAGACGACGGGAAGAACTGTAGGTCAGCTAGCGTAGCACGCAGCGTATTGTGCCACTCATGGGGCACCTGTCGCAGGCCGTAGACCGGGCGCCGGAGGAGCCACTGGGTCCCATGAGGGAAGGTACCGGTGAAGCCCAGTGGACGACGCAGGTAGACCTGCTCGTGTAGACTGCCCTGAAGAAACGCTGTGGGGAACTCGAGGGAGTGTAGCTCGTAGTCACGCAGTGCTGCTACGTGTAGCAGTGCCCGAAGAGTAGTCATCTTCGGGGTCGGGGAGAAGGTCTGTTGATACTCCTGGATTTGCTTCGCGGGGAGTTTTGCGGAGGCGCTGTTGTTGTTTCCGTAGCGGTAGGGAGTCGGGACCGTAGTCGGCGTCACTCCGAATTTCTTCGCGACAGTGCCTGCGTACTTTCCAGCGTGTAGGTAGAACGCCGAGTTGTCTTCGACGACATTTAGTCCCAAGTACTGGGTCACTGAGTCGGACACCGTGAGCGTCAGGTCCCCTTTCAGCTCCCCTTCGAACCAGGTGACGATGTCGGTGGTAGAACCGATGTAGAGCAGGTCGTCGACGTAGACTATGAGCAGAATGTAATCTCTTCCCTTCTGCAGTCGGTACATGCCTTGGTCATGTGGTAACTGTAGGAATCCGATTTTTACGAGCCGGCCGTGAAGGTGCTGCTGCCAGAGCCGTGGGGCTTGCTTGATCCCGTAAAGGGATTTTTCCAGCTGGCATACTTTTGAAGGGTCGTCGATGAATCCGTGGGGTTGTTCGACGAAGATTTCGGCGTCCACAGGTGCGTACAAGAAGGCGTTTGCGACGTCGATTTGCCGTAGTGGTAGTTTCTTCGTGGCCGCGACGGCGAGTAGGATGCGCAGGGAGGTGTGACGGGAGACTGGGGCGAAGGTTTCTGTGTAGTCGGTTCCGTATCGTTGGTCGAAGCCTCGTACGACCCATCGCGCTTTAAAACGTTCGATGGAGCCGTCCGCGTTGGTCTTAATGCGGTACACCCATTTCCCCGAGAGAATGTTCCTCCCGTTGGTGTTGGTTGTCGGTACTAACTTCCATGTATTCCGGTCTTGGAGGGCTTTTAACTCTTTTTCCATTGCTTCCTTCCATTCCGCCTTATGTTCCCCCCCCAGAGCCTGCGACAGGGTCGATGGCTCGCGCGGAGAAGGCGGCGGCGGGTGCTGAACGGAGACCCATAGTCCTAGGATCTGCAGTCCCGTGGCTGTGTGTCGAGGGGAATTTTCATTCCCGGGATAAGCTGCTTCATCACCGTCTTCAGGATCGGGTAAGAAGTTTGGCCCGATGCGTTCGGAAATATTCGAGTCGACGGGGTGTGGTGTAGCGTAGCCTTGGTCAGCGAAGTGGTAAAAGGTGTCGAGGTTGTTGCTATCGAGGGGATTATCTTCATCGAGTGGAACAGGTACGGAGCAGTAGGGGAGTGGTCCGGCAGCCTCCGAGGCTCCAGGGACGTCTTCTTCTGCTGCGTCAGCCTCGGCAGCATGGTCAGCGAAGGAGCGAAGGCCCGCGAAGCCGTCGGTGGGGTCGTCTGAGTTGGCAATGTTGTCCAGGTAATGCTGCAGCGTCAGTCGCTCGTAGAAGATAACATCACGTGATGCCACCGTATTTTTGTCGTGTATGTCGAGAATCTTCCACGCGTGAAAATGTTTGGCGATGCCGAGGTGTAGTCCCCACCGAGCTCGTTGAGTGAAGCGTCCTGCTCGAGCTGTGTGGGGTCTGTATTGTACCATGCAGCCAAAACTCGAAGTAATTTTGTGCTGCCCCTTTTTCCCGTCCACAGCAGGTGTGGTGATGCGTTGTTGGGGAGCGATGATGACGGACAACAGGTTGTGCAGGTGGACTGCATGTGTCATCGCGTCTGGCCACAGTGTGTTGGGCAGTTTCATTCCCATGGAGCAGCTTTCGCATCGTCGTCTGCAAGGTCGGTTCATGCGTTCTGCGACCCCCTGCTGCTGGTGAGCGTATGGTAGGGACACCAGGCGCCTGATTCCTCTTTCCGCCAGATAGGTCCTGAAGCGTTGTGACTGGTATTCCAGTGCGCCGTCGACTGGAAACTTTTTAGCTTGGTTCCTGATTCCCGTTCGGCTATGGGGAGCCATGTTGTGAAGGCGTTGAAGGCTTGATCGCGCGTCTTGAGGTTGTAATGCCAAGTGTATCTTGTTGCTGCATCGACGAAGGTGATGACGTAGTTGAAGTCGGCTTCCGTGTCGTCTCGAGGCATGTTCAAGATGTCGCTGTAGACCTTTTCCATCGTTGCATATGCAGGCGCGCTTGGATTATGATGTGATGGGAATGGTTGATGAGGAAGATCTGCTTCGGGGCACGTGAAGCACCGTGCGCGTGGTCGTCGAAGTTCTTGGCCGTTCGTTGTTAGGAGGGCGTTGCGTTCGTTGGTTTGTAGTATTGTCCTGTTTGCAGGGTGCCCGAGGCGTTGGTGCCAGATGTCGTCGGGAGCGCGATGGCCGGGTGAGCGGTGGTATATGTCGGCGTTGGAGAAGAATGCGACGACTGTGGCGGGACTTCGACAGACTTCTCGTGTGATGGGCATAAGTTGATCTGCTTCGGTTGGCGGTCCTCGGACTGCCGGTGGTGGTACTCGGCTTGGTCCTGCTGCTGCTACTGCAGGTGATGGTTGGGACTGGACGCTTGTTGGTACTTGTCGTTCTTGTCTGATAACTGCTAATGCTCGTGTTCTTTCTGCTGCAGGTATGGTGTTGGAGTGCCAGAAGCCGTCACTGTCGAAGTCGGGATCAAGATCCGGCGGGTGTGTCCAGGCGGCGAACGATACGATACCGTCGCTGTCGGCAGTACCGCGGTCGGGGACAAAGTCCAACACGAAGACACCGGACTTCAGGAGGGCACGACCTATGAAGAGGCCGCCCTTCCCGTGGTAAAGCCGGAACTCGTTGGAGAAGGAGTCGCACTCCAGGTGAATCCCCTTGGCCATTAGTTGGCTTACGCTTAGTAGGTTATATCCCAAGTTGTCGACGATGAGTACTTTGTTGAGCTGAAGTATTACGTTTGTCTCCATGGATTGTAACTGAACCACGCCTTGTCTGTTTGTCTTTAGGTTTTCGTTGTTGGCGACGGTGATGACGACGTCGCGGTTGAGCCGTTTCTCCTGTTGCACGAAGCGTCCCGAGGAGCACATGTGTTGACCGCAGCAGCTGTCCAAGAACCAAGTGTTTCGCCCGGTGGGTTCGGCGTTGGCGACCGCAGCATATGTTGGATTGACTTGAAGACCTTGTGAGCGCGGTGGTGGGAACTCTTCTTCGTCTGGCGCGTAAGTGGGTGGTGATCCGGGTGCGCAGTTGTCGATATGTACCATGCAGTTAATAATATTTGGTGTCCCTTGTGCAGATGTCGAGGAGCGCCTTGGAGAACTTTCTTGGGTGGAGGCGACTTGTGGGTCTACTGGGCGGTAAACGCGAGGGCGGTTGCAGTTGACCTTGGAGTGCCCGGAAGTGTGACAGTTGTGGCAGAACGGCGGCACGAAGGTAGTTCCTCTGTTGTCGCGCTCTTGCTTGCCGCGTCGATTGTAGGTGTTGTCGTTTCTTCGTTGAGTGTAGAAGACTAACTGCTGCTGCTTCCTTGGTTGCCTTTCTTCGAACAGGTCCATCTCCTGTTGTTCAGCGTGAAGCTCGGCGCAGAGGTGCATCTCCGAAATTCTTCCGTGGGCGCGAAGAAGTGATTGTGTGGTTCTCCATTCTGGCCCGAGCCCGGCGAGGACAAGTGTCACGAAGCTTTCTTCAGTGATTGTTCCTCCGCACCGAAGCAGGCGGTCGCGGAGAGTCTGGCATCGACTCATATATTGCATTGCCTTTTCCCCGGTCTTCATCTGTATTGTTGTCAGTTGTTGCATGAGTCTACTTTGCGTCACGCTGTCGTTTGCTTGATAAAGGCACTTGAGATGATGCCATGCGAGTTCCGCGGAGTTCCCATAACTCCGATATGTTCTGATGCTCTGCTGTTCTTGTGGTGACAGGTTCCGCAGGAGGACTGTATACGCCAGCAGCGACTGATACGTGAAGATCTCTTGCTCCTTTCCAGTGCCGTTGCTTGGAAATGGCAGGGACCCGTTGAAGTATCCCAGAAGATGCGCGGCCTCCATCAGCAGCTCGAACTCGAAGCTCCAGGTAAAGAAGTCGTGTCCGTTGAAAGGTGAGGATGTTTGTAACTTAATGACGTGTGAGAATTGAGCCTGAAGACTGAGAATCTCGTTTGGTGTTTGTTGTGATGCAGCTGCTGTTGGTTGGGCGCGGGGCGGCATGAACTCGAACGTCCCCGGTGAAGAATGATAAGGCGCAAAGGTAGGCGCTTGGTTGTGTCGCCCGAAGGATGAGTTGTCGAGGCTCATCGGCGCTAATCCCATGTTTCCTCCATTGCTCTGTGTTGAATGCGCAGGTGTCCTTGTCTGCTGCTGCTGGTCGAAGTGCGACATGAAGCTGAAGAACCTTTCCATAAGGTTGGGGTCCACGCTTGAAGAGGGAGATGGAGTCACCATCTCTGGTACTCTTCCCGTTGTTTCTTGAGCAGTCCCGGTCTCTGTCTGCAGTCCTGAGGTGTGCAGACCAGAGTTGCCGTGTTGAGTTTCTTGGCCGCTGGGTGAGCCCGTAGAGACTTTCTTGCCCTTGCTGTCCATGTCTTGTAATCAATGAAGTCGTTGAATTGAGTTGAGTTGCAGGTTGGTGATAGAACGTAGTTGCTGGGAGTTTGGTCTCTGACCAGCTCTCATACCATGTTGGGCTGAGAAAAGCCCTTGGAATCTTTCCAGAGACTAAGTCCCAGCTGTAAAGACTTGAGACTTGGAGTAGTGCAGCGGAGGTTTGAGGCAGTTGAACCCTTGTACTAGTATGTGAGAACAAGTGATTGATAAAAGAAGGCAAACATACAGCAATATATAGAAGATAAGAAACAGTTGTAGAGTACAGTTGCAGTAGCGGTTTATCGAGTCGTACAGCGACTCGATTGTCGCTTCGGTTACCATCCGTGCTGTTGTAACGGTCAGTCGCAACCTCCAGTTGCGACCCTTTGAGTCCCAAACCCTTCGTGTTCTTTGTCCGCCCCCTCGTGTAACCTCCGTTGACTCGCGTACCCCTTGCAATCTTCCTCGAGTGTAGTGTTACACTTCAGAAACGCTTAAGTCTTTTGATGTACTTTCAACACATCTCCTCCTGCTCCTGCCGTAGCTGCTGTCTTCGGCTCAGTCGTCGCCAGCCCGTGCCACACTGCCGAGAGCCCTCAGCCGCCGCAGTCGCCGCCTGTCCTCATCGACACAGCCGCCTTGAGCACGTGCTCCGCCGCTGTCGTCATTGAGGCCGCCCAGATGCGGCCAGCTGCCTCTCGACCGGGGGTGTCATAGCCTAGCACGAGGGGTCGATACCCGGCTGCTCACGAGAATGAGGGTGTCCGGGGTTAGGGGGTGTGTGTGTGGGTTGTGTGGGCTGGCCACTACCAAGCCTAGGGGGTGTGTTCAAATTATATTTTATATAATTGTTAGGCTTGGTAGGTTACCGAACCTTACTGTAGAGGGTACAAACCCCTCCTTGTACTCTCTCTCTTCCTAATCTATCTCTTTTTTCTCTCGACACTCTTGCCTACTCTCCTAGCTAAACCCTTGGCCGCCATTTCATGGCGGCCTCCTCTTTTCTTCCTAGTTCAGATTTCAACAACGATCACATCTCTTGTTTTCCAGTTCCCTTTATTTCTTAGGGATAGAGATGGGGCCACCTCCCACGTTGCGCTCTGGATTCTCCACATTGATAAGGGGACCACACCAAATCCATGGTAAATATAATGTGGAAGAGGTTATATTCTAATGCACACACAATACAGCACATGTGCAAGCCTTTTATTGTCAGTCCTCATCATCTTCCTCATCCTCTTCATCCTTCACTTTCTTCTTGGGCCTTGAGGCCCAATACACATCCCAAGCAGTCACTCCCACTACAGCAGCGCCAGAGAAGAAAGCAAGAGCAGCAGCAGGGTCAGATGATGGAGGTTCCGCTGCTGCTCTTGCCACTGTCGCTGCTGCTGCTTCTGATGCTTCTGTTGCTGCTGGTGTAACTGATGTTGCAGCTGCTGCCTGTGGTGGTGCTGCTGATGCTGCATCAGCTACAACCCCCTTCCCCAACCCCCCTAACGCTGGGGCAGCAGTAGCCGCGGCAGCTGTCGCTCCCTGAGCGGCATTGCTCACCTCTGCACTGCGTGCCGCCTCCTGCGCTGCTGCTGTGCTCTGCTCAGAAGACCGGGGAGAGGAAGCAAAGGGAGGGACGATCAGGAGCCCTGGAATTAAGGCGGCTTGCTGCATGCCAAGCAGCATTTGAGCGATCGCCGGTGAAAAGGGGTGCGCGGAGGTGAAAAACCCGTCAGGAGGCCGTACGAGTTACCGTAAGACCTAACCAGGGAACACTCGGCCAGATCGGCTCGCGACAGACACACGGACTGGGTGGGAGACAGAGATGACTTCACGGACCGGCGACAGGGTTGGACAGGATACGATATTTTAACAAAACCCCGACATTCCCGAAACTGGCTCCTCGAACGCAACGTACCTCCGATTTCGCTACTGTGCTGAGCGAATGGGCTTGGCTGGCTGACGACCGGAAGAGATGGAACGTGGAGGTGGAAGAGGAAACGGATCTCAAGGAAAGCCAGGCTCGGGTCAAGACAGCGTCCTCGCCTGCAACGACTCTCCGAGACGCGGAGCGGAGTTGCGGGATGAGTGCCATTAGCGACGAGGCACGGAAGGGGAACGGTAGTGCATATGAGGTGATGAAGGCGAAATAACTGCTTGCTGCTACGACACGCGCTGTCCTCGTTTGATTCAAGTGGTCCATTCGCTGTTTATCAACACGCGTCGTGCATGGAGATCCATTTACTGTTTATCAATAACAAGGTGGTACAGCTCAATGGACCTTACAATGCTCTACTTCTCAACCATATTCACAACAAAAAGTGACCTAGCATTACAATGAATGCAACTACAGGATATCTTAAGACAAATAAGTGGTGCTAAGCGCCTCTAATCAACAGATAATGTGATTGACCAAAAAACTTGAACGGCCCATTAATCATTGGGAAAAAAGCATGCTGGGGTCATCATCCTGGTTGCTGCAGGCTAGATTCCTGAGGGCGACATTTGCCTGGGCAGCCGAACTGTCGTTTCTTTGCGTGGATGGCTTCGTGAGAGGCCAGATATTGAACCCTTCGTCGCCTTGCTCCAGTAGCTGCCCCCTGGCTGCATAACCCAAGGGAACATCCCCTATATGTATGCCCAAATTGCCAGAAGAAGCGGCAGTGGGAGCCACATTTCCAGGCGGCAATTGGGCTGTAGCAGCAACACGGTCAGGAACAAGGAGATGACCCACGAGATCCACTTGAGAGTCTGTGGCAGGTGAAGTGTCCATTGAATGTGACGCGTTGAAGTCTGGGCCAGCTGCGGTTGGCAAAGGTGGATGGTTCTCGACCATGGATGCTGCATGCGCCTCTAAAGAGCCAGCTATGGCACTTTCTGGTGTGACGAATCCGCTTGCAGCAGCCCAGAGGGAAGGAGAGACCGTGGGAGGACAGTTTCCCAGAGCACCCGCCTCTGCAATGGCAGTAGACGAGATGTGCTCCCCTGCACTTCCCAGTGCACCTGCAGCCATGGGTCCAGCCCGGGTTGAAGGAGCTTGAGTGGGGGAAATTTGCATAAGACCGACCAGGAAGCAATAAAGCAGGAAAAGTATTACAGGAGCAGAAGCACCAGCGGCAGCAGGAGTGCAAACAGGAGGAGCACGCATGCACGCACGCACGACCAAGCCTTGCCTCGACAAGAGCACCTCAGCAGTCAAGACACCAGGACACTGTACCTGTGGTCCGTTCCTCCTGTTGCAGTGAGTGTGGGTGCGGCGGAACAGCAGCAGCCTGCAGCAGCGCGGCAGCAATGTTCCAATCGAAAGAGGGCAGAGGGGTGGGGCTGGGCCGGAGATAGTCACCCGCCACCTGGGGCACTGGCTCGTACAGGGCTTGCAGCATGGCAGCATCGTGCAGGGAGAGATCACCTGCCCTGAAATTTCCCTGCCCTGCTGAAAAAGCTGGACAGGACAGGAAGTGGGGGAAGGGGAGGGAGGGGGCGGGGGAGCCGAGAAGAGGAAGCGGGGGGGATGTTTGAATGTTGAGGGAGCATAGATGTGTAAATGTCAGTTGTGCGACTGGGATCGCATAGCACCAAGGAAATGGCTGTCATGATTACCTGCTGCGTCATGCATGGGGCCTGCTCCTCCTGGTGCTCTCCTGCCCTGCCCAAATGCACCCTCTGCTCCTGCGTATGGAAGTGCTGCTGAGAAGTCCCTTCCACTGCTGCCAAGGCCACCAGCACCAGCACCAGCACCAGCACCAGCACCAGCATTGCCATCACCAGCAGCAGCAGCGCCGACTGCAGTGCCAAGTGCAGTACCGGCACCACTGCCAGAACTTGCGAATCCACGGGTCAGAAGGGCATTGCTGAGGTCGAAATTCCCATCATGAGCCACAGTATTCGTCAGCTCATGCAGGCCCATCATTCCGGACGAGAGTTGAGCGCCGCTAACAGGGTGAGAGGCAGCCGAAACAGCTGCAGAAGAGGGCACGGAGGGCGGGGATAGGCCTGCTAGTTGTGCCAAGGTGTTGCTGTCGTTGCCTCCTGCTCGGTTCATATTGGCCAGCTGCTGCGTGATCAAGGGCAGGAGCAACAGCTGCTGCTGCTGCTCTGTCATGCTCAGCTGGTGCTGTGTGGAGAGGTTGGAGTGTGGTGAGACGAACGAGGGCAGATGCTGTGCAGCCGTGCTGCTGTGTTGCTGAGCCTGCTGGAGGATCGCTGATGCATGTAGAGTCTGGAGAAGATGCGAGGGCCAGGAGGTCGAGGACGAGAGGAGGCCGCCGGGGTTTTGCGCAGGGTTCAAGGACATGCCAGCAAAGCCTTCTGTCTGCAGCCCCCCCTTGAGCGGGGCAACCGATTGGTTGCTCCGAGAAAGGGGCGAGCCGCCAGCCGTCACCGCTGCTGCCGCTGCTGCTGCTGCTGCAGACACGGCTGCTGCGACAGCAGGAGGCAGCGACGCTGGCAGGGAGGGACGTACGCCCATGGCTGACTGCAGCAGCAGCAGCTGAAGCGCGTTGGACTGCAGCGCCAGTGACACTCCCCCTCCTCTCCTGTCTCCCGCAGCACCAGCGCCAGCATCGCCGTCAGCACCAGCAGCAGCAGGAGGAGCAGTCGCATGGAGGTGCGAGGACGCAGCAATAGCAACGGAGGGAAGGGCAGCAGCAGTAGCAGCAGCGGCGGCGGCGGCAGGAAGTAGGGCGGCAAAGGCAGGGCGGCAACGGGTGTGGGTGCCCTGCGGAGAGGTGGTGGATGAGGCTGACATGACGCTAGGCAGCGAGTTTATGCCCGTTAGGCTTTCCACACCATGCCCATGCCGCTGCCCATGTGGATGTTGATGCGTGTGCCCATGCCTATGCCCATGCCCATTCGTAGGTGCATGGTGGTGCTGTTGGTGATGCTGCTCCAGCACATGCATCACCCCATCCATATCTGACCCGCCAAACTGCCTCTCACTGCCGCCCCCCGCCATCCCCGCCAAACCTTCCCCCAGCCCCGCCCTTAGCGCGTCCTCCAATCTGTCATCCCCAGCAAATCCCCCGCCCGGCACAACTCTTCCGCCGTCCGCCTGGGCAGTCCGCGACGCTCCTGCGGGCCAGTTCCCCGCCATCACCGCATCCCCAGCCGTCGCCGCAGCAGAATGATCAGTTAAGAGCATTCCGCCGCTCGCGCTAGTCGCGGTGCTACTAGCGATCGCCCGTAGCAGCCCAATCATCCCCGCCAAATTAGGGTCACTCGCAGCAGCCACCGCCGCTGCCGCCGCCGACGCGAAACCACCCCCGTTCATTAGTATCGTCCCTGTGCTAGATCCGCCAGATCCGACGGTCGACAAGCCGCGCAGACTCTCCCAAGCCTCTAGCGCGCTTGCGCTTGCGACTTCGAGCCCCGCGCTTGAGCTCCCGCACGGAAGGCGGAAGGATGACGCCGCCGCACCCGCCGCCGCACCACCTGTCGCCGAGCCGGCGGGGCCGCCGGGCTGAGCGGGGATGGCGCTGGCGAGACGCGCTCCGACTCCGCCCGTTTCCGCCGTAGCTCTCGCGGCTGAAGTGGCGTCGACGCCTCTCGGAGCACCGCCGTGAGCAACGGTGCCGGGTCCCCCACCGCCAACGGCAAATCGGAGTTGCTCGTGCGACGGAGTGCTACCGCCGGTGCCACCGCCGCCACCACCGCCATTACCGCCTCCGCCGCCGGCGTCGGAGTCAACTAGCAAATTGTACCTGGCGCGGGATCCGTGGAATATCTTCGCGGCGCGGTCGTACGCTAGCGCTGCCTCTCTGGCCGTTTCGAACGAGCCCAGCCACACGCGCTTCCGGCTGCGCGGCTCCCTAATCTCCGCCACCCACTTCCCCCACGTGCGCTGCCGCACCCCGCGGAATGAGTGCGTGCTGTTCTCCGGGCCGCCTTTCAGCCCCTTAACCATGCCCTTGGCCCCTTTTCGTATGCGTCGACGTGGCGCCGCCGTCGATGGGCCCCCACGATTATGAACCCCCGCTGCAGATGCTCCTGCTCCTGCTTCTCCCGCTGAGGCTGCTGCTGCTGCTGCTGCGGATAATTCCGGCCCTTCTCCCACGCCCGCTCCCTCGCGCGAAGCCACGCCGCCAGCCGTTCCTCTCCCCGCGGCACCCGGGTGAGACGGCGGGCCCCCAGCGCCACCCGCGGCCCAGCCGATTAACTCCGTCGGCGTGCTCAGAGCATCGGAAAGAAGTCCTGCTCCGCTCGCGCCGCCGCCTATGTTGTCCCCGCCGCCTGTGCGGCTGGGGCTTCCGCTCATGCTCTCGCCGCCGCTGCTGCTGTTGCTCCATGACCCGGTAGTGTTCGCGCCGCCGTAGTCTGCGTCCGCGGCAAACCCGGCAGGAACAAGCGGCCCGAAAAAATGTTGATGATCAAGGTTCGCCCTGTCCCCGCCTGTCTCAGTGATGGGGGTTGTCGCTAGAGCTGCGGCGGTTGCGACGGCCCTAGCGGCGGCTGTGGGAAGCTGGGGGGGAGGCATCACAGAACCACCGTCGATCGCGGTGGCGCCGGCTGCATCGGCGGCGCCACTATGGAACACCATGCTGCTGCTACGCGCTATTAATGTGCCCGTGCCGCCTGTCCAATCGCCTCCCACGCTGTCGCCGAAGCTTCGGGAGCCCAACAGCCAATCCCGTCCCGCCGATCCATGGAGTTCTGCCACCCGTTCAACCTCCATGGTACTACTTAACTGTCCTCTTCGAGTCGCCTGAGAAACCCCGAGGGGGGGCTTCCCTTTCGCCGCTGCTGCTGCTGCTGCTGCGGCGGCGGAGCGTGTCCGTGCGATGGGGGCGGTTTCCGGGTGGGATCGTCCGGCGGAGACGGAGAGAATGGGCTCGCTAGTGGACTGCTGATTGTGCGCCGACGGCAGGCGATCGTGCTGACCAACTAATGTCGCAGACCGAAGAGCCACGTCATCTCGACCATGATACTCCGTGGGATCACCCCAGGCGCCGCCGCCGTCTGCGCCGCCGAAGCTAGAACCGAAGAGTACTTCCGTATCCAGGTGAGCTAAGTTGGTCTGTCGAAACGAGGACGGTAGCGAGCGGAGAATCAGGGAAGTGCTGCTTGTAGAGGTAGTATTTACAAGGGCGGATAAGGACATGGATGGCGGGAGGGATGACTCTGATTGTAACAGTATCTGTCGGTCAGTCGACTCGACTATATTGCGGACCGTCCTAGGAACCGATGCGGATCTAGATATAAGCCCTTGCGAAGGTCCTATGTCGTCATGGATTGACGTAGGACGAGGATAAGAGAATAGCAACTCTTCGACGCGATTCCCGATGTCGCTCCTAGCGATAGTATCTCTAGCATTATCGACGTCGCTCTGTGGGCATTGGTCTTCCGCTTGCTTCATGGAGGGCCCTAGTCGTAGTACTGATAACGCGACTACGCTTACGCGACTTGCAGAAGCGTACGGATCCTTATGGATGCGACTCCTCCGCGTGTGATAAGAGAAGAGAATAGTGTATCCTCGAGGGCCGTCGAAGCACTCCGTCAGGGAGGAAAGACAAGCGTCTGGCGACATCGAGCCTTTTGCCGGCGGTTCTAGCGAGCAACTCGCAGAAAGGCGGAAGTATCTCGCTTGTGAGGCCCACATCAGGTGAGGTGTTGTGGGTCGATCGGGCCAATCTCTTGAACAGCGATCAGCATCACTCGGCTGCGTGCAGTCGGTCGATCTCCTGCCATGGCACGTACATAACGACGCTGGCACTATCAACAGTCGTCAGCTGAAGTGGTCGCCGTCAGCCACGCTCACCGCTATCTTCCCATGCATCCATCTGTCAACGTCATGCCTTGACTTCCGTCGTCGTCATTGCTGGCACGGCCCCTCACCCCGTGGCATCAGCCTTTTTGCAATCTTCCATTCCATCCCGTCCCCAGCGGGCAGGCAGGAGATGGATTTGGTTTTGCCACTGACGTCAACTACCCCACCCCTTGGGTTTCGCTAAGGACAAGCCATGAGCAGCATAGCAGGAGGTGACTTCGATGGAACTTAGTATATACAGGTCATATTCTAGGGGACGGGATGGGAGAGAATATGCACGTCACTGCCGCGGGCGGCAAAAGAAGCACCTTTTGAGGTGTGTTCAGATGCAGAAGGGTCTGCTGGCCTACAAAACCAAGGGCGAGCCCAAGTTTAGGAAGTTCTAATTCAAGCAGTATACAAAACAGGGGTGCACAAAATAGATACAGTATACAAAAAAACAGGGCACGAAACAATAATTAGTGGAGACAGTAACTAAGTGTTGAAAACTTCCATCTGAGCGGCACTAGTTCACAAAGCAATTTTTGCATCTTTACACACACCAATGTGACCCTCACTTTCCCTGGTGTTATCGTAGAGAAGAAAAGCCGTACCTAGGGGTACATTTCCCAGAATGCTCTGATTTCTGGGGTGTAGGGTAGCTAGTTCTCCAGGTCCAGCTCGAGCGCCGCCATTTTCAACTGCTACGATTCCCTCCGGATTCTCCGCCAGCATTCCAAAAAGCGCCGCTTTGGGTCTGGCCATTGTTCCCCAGAGCTACACCCTAAACATCGTTATGATCAGGCGTGTTTGTCAGGCTGGCTGCGTTTGTTCTTTTCGGAATGTGATTGTACGTGACCACTCGAGGAACCGACTGCCAGGGGTATTTCCCGAGCCTCCGAAGAAGCAGGGGTGTATTCTGGAGTGAAACCAATGAGTGTTAACAAAAAAAAAAAGTGGACCGTAGTGTAGCGAACCGTCAACTCTCGACAGAATGAAACAGAATGTTCTGAATGGAGGGTTCACGCGACGAGGAGCTTCTGGAATCAGCAATTCAACCCATTAAGGTCTGTGGTTTTTCCCACACTAAGCCATATTTGGTCCAGGGCAATGTGAAATTCCATTTCACAACGTGATAAGATGCCGATCTTGGCAATGACTGTATCCGCTTTTTATGCTACGTCATTTGAGACAAACGAGATTTAGGGTGTACAATGGCCAGGCCCAAGCTTTGGGAAGTGTGCTAGGCTTTCATTAACAAGAACACTTTCCGCTGTAAACCTAGGGTGAATACAAAAACTCTGTGTGGGGTTCTAATCTGACCCAAACAGAAAAACATGCATGATGGGCTCAAATGTGCGTGCAAATCAGCAGCACTTCGCGGCGATCATGGTTCGGCCTGATGCCATTCTTTTGGCTGTCGTGCAGCTGGGATAACCATGTCCCTGTGAAACACACGTGGCCTGATGTCCACTGTACAATGGAACTAGAAGAGGAGAAACTAACAGAACAGAACTGATGCAGTGCTCATGAGCAGGCCTCTGGATTCAAGGTAATTACACTGATTCGTCCAGGAAACCAGGGTAAACTTTCTACCTAGCCCTGCTTTTGACGCATGCAGAATATCGATACCCGTCCATGGACAGGCAAGCCAAAATTATCCCACGGCCGATTTGCGAGTAGGAGATGGACTTACCCTGTAAAATCTAATGTAAAAGTTCGCACCCCTAGAAAAAATTGTCCCCCGGTCATTGTCAGGAGTGGCACATTCCGAGCTGGTCGAAACTCTGGCCTGCAAAAACAGTCAAAAGTTTTAGGGCTACCCAGCCTGGACGAGTTGGATCCCGGGCAAACTCGAATTCTGCAGGGTGACCCCTAGGCTATTGAGAGGCCTGCTCATGAGATGATGGGCAAAAGGCACAAGCAATGCTGGCGTGTGAGCGGTTCCTCCAATGTCGCTGAGCAATCGGGCACGCGGATGACAAAGCAGCCAGATTCTGATTCGTAACGAGATTCGCCGTTGTGGGGATCTCCATCAGTGGGGTACGGACAAAAGCTGTAAATCCGTTCCGCCGCCTTTCAGCATGGCTGCTCCTCATGCTTCCCCCCACCCGTGTAGGCGTAAATTTTAATAGTTTCCGGGAACTCAAAAACCTTCGGGTTCACAAAAACTAACCCTGATTTTTCAGGACCTGGATGAGTTCGCATCCTTAAAGCCCAAGTCTCATCATTGCAAGTGTTAAATGTTTGGCACCTAGTTGCGCGGGCAGGAGGGGTTAGGAAATGCCATGGCCTGAGTGAGAAGGGACCAAGCGTAAAACTGACAGAATAAATACGAGACTTAGCAAGTTCACAAAGTTGCAAAGACTCTCGGCAGTTGTATCGTTATGAGGTTCTTGTCTAACGGTTCATTTCCTGAGAATGTGAATCGACCGTTGGGGAACAAAGTGAGAACTTGGAGTGCAGAAAGTACGTCTTAAAGCCCGTGTCTCTTATTTCCTACCGACCAAAGGTATTACCTTTGGTGGGGGGTTCTGATTGGGGGGCGAGGGGCGAAAAAATGAAAGTGGGTGGGCGACAGTTGCGACAATTTTGAAAATTGTTGAGGGTCCAACTTTGACGAGGCTTGGAGTCTCGTATTTCTGCGGAGCCGTATTACGTTTGGTTTGAGCCCACAGAACGTTGAGGGCGTGGATTTTGGGGGTCGGGCTCTCAAAGTTTCGCAGGTAGCTGCGTTTCCAGTGTTGGATTTTTGGCCGAAATTTTGTTGTGTGAGACCTTTCGGGTCCTGATTCCATGTCACCAGCCCAGGTTCCGAAAAATCGGTTATTACGAACGCGTCTTCGGGTTCGCTTTGCTGAGGTTGTGTATCTCTCTCGCACTCACTTGCGAGCCCTCGACGGAGCGCACTCGACGAGCACGACATGTGAAAAGTGCACAAATATGCATGCGGTCCGGGGTAGGCTACATTGGGTAACGCGGCTCGGATGAACTTGATAAAAGCGCAAGAAACCCCTTCATAGTGGTGTATGCTTTACTAATTGAAACATGGGATAAGGAAATGTTATTATCTTACATTTTCCCCCTTCCGAGGTATGGTCTTACTGTAGTTAAGATTCCCAACGTCACACAGGTTATGCGATTAGAGATATACCATATTCCTCCATATACAGCACCCTGCGAAATTGAACTTCCATGGGTGGCTTGAGCGGACATGGATGATTAATTAAACTGGATATACACAACACCTTTTTTTTTCCTGCAAATATTTGAACACCCCGCCAAAACTTTCAACCTCACTTTTGAACCAAAATGCATGAGTTCGAGCAGCATGGACAGGCGCTATCCTTTTTCTCGTGACCACTGCTGCTGTGCCATCACCTGAGCGTGAGAGCGAGTGGGAAACTTATCGAGGAACCTATATTGTGTCGTTCAAGATGTGTGACACATAAAATTTCGAGATCCATTTTGACTTCCCGAACAAGTAGGTCCCTTGAATCCTCGAAACTGAATGTTCGCTAGTTGACGTTCGGGTCGCGCTCGCCTTCCTGCCAAGAAAATTATGCCATGCCTTCTACGGATTGGCTGTTTGACGTTTCACCACATCCGTCCGTACGCGATGTCGAGGGGAAAAACAAAATACAGCAGAGTACGACTGTGGACTTTGTTTAGGAAAAACAATATCACATACGCATGTTTCACAACACTCGGGCGTTATACAAAATTAGCCACTAATTACACCCCCTTAAAAATTTAGAGGCATTTTGGTTACCACACTAGGGTGCTATATACGGGGGAATACGGTACCTATAAAACCGGGTAATTCTCGATGTGTGCCAAGGGCACCCGATTGTTTTTCAGGGAAGTTATGCCCTTCCATGCAACGAGAAACTCAATTAGACGAGCGCCTCACGTGTTACGAATTCGATGGCTGGTCGGTTCGGCGAGCGGTCGGATTTGCAGGTTGGCTCAGCAGAGTTTTCTGCAATAATGGGAGCTTATACGGAAGTGCCTGACGCAGATAGAGCTACTCTAGCTCTATATTTCTTTAAGGAGAGATAGCCTTCAGGCTTGGTGTGTTTCACTGAGTAGCTTGAGAAAGCTTGGACACACAAATTCACTAGAATCAAGATTACAAATTATGGTACACAAGGCAAATACTAGAACTACCACACTGAACCTCATTGAACGCGGAGGGAACGGTTGCACAAGAACATTTACATAACTGCTCTAAGTTGCGCTTAGCCAAGTCAGGAATGGTAGGTAAAAATTAAAGCAATGATTAGTTGGTAAATTTTACCCACTCAGCAGTAGTTGTTTTAACAGTTTCATGTGTGAAATTGTCAGATGTTACGCTCATTTCCGCAGTTACGAAATGCGCGTCACGTGTTCAATTTCTCAATGTCGGTCCAGATCGGTTCAGTGGTTAACTTACGAATTCGCGAATTTCTCGCGATTTCGGAACCTTACCTTCAGCAGAAAACTAAGTCCCCAAAATCTCCCGAAGGGGTCGTTCGAAGAAACGAAGTTCGAGATGACTCTCTGCCGCGCTTCTGCCGAATTTCGTCTCTGCGGAGGGGGTTGACTGCAGAAGAGGTAGCTGAATTGCCTTTCTGTCGAACTTCGGCAGAAAGCAATTCTGCGCGAATAGGTTATTGTGCCAGTCTGCCCGATGTCCTGTTGGAACGCATTTCCGAGAGTCGACTCTGCCGAAAGGATCGCCAGCAGAAGTGTGTTCTGCGCATTACTTTGGCAGAGGACAACCCTTCTGCGAATGGTCCCTAGTGCCAATTCGGGAGAGGGTTTTGTACACTCTCGACTCTGCCAAGATCGCTTCTGTAGAAGCTTTATGCAGAAACGCGCTCCTGTT